GATACAACTGAGTTAGTTTTCACACACTAGTATATATTTATAGCAACTTGAAGTAGCTATGTTGTAACTAACAATTGCAAACACAAGTCATGGGTAGTGAACAACTGAAATTGCATGGCAGGTGAAATTGCATGTTGAAAATGCAATTTTAATTTGTCACGATAGCAGTCCATGTAATCATAAAATTGCATTTTTAACATGAGATTTCAAGTTGAAATTACATATTGAAAATGCGATTTCAATTTAAAATTACAATTTCAAAATGCGATTTCAAAAAACGGGTTAGTTTCCCAAATAGTTTGAAAAGTGGGTCAATTCTCTAAATTGTTTTTTTTTTTTTTGTTGTAGAATATTAAAAAAAACTCCAGCATCCATCTATCACTGTCGACTTGTGTATGTGCAAGACAATGTGGAAATGACATATACTACTAAACTCGATCTGGGCTCATTGATGTGTTAACCCTTTAGCACACTTGCCATCCTCCCCAAAGTATCATACAACACATCTGGATGTCAAAGGCCAACATCTCGACCTCTCTGGATAATAGGATGCCCAATCCTTAAAGCCTAAGATATATGTTGGAAACCATGTTTTACGTAATAAGTTAGAGTAAATTTATGAGTGTGGATTCCATATGTCAAATTATGACTCATAGATTAGTTGTATATTACCTGTGGCTTTGGAATGGTTCCTTGAGTATCCTAAGGAAGCAAGGCGGATCGATGAGCTGGGTTCTAAACAATCAAGTGTGACACCTGCTTATACCACTACTAGAAAAACCACTTTTGCGACCGCTATAAACCGTCGCAAATAATAAAAAACAGTCGCAAAAGACTTTTTGCGACGACCCATGCGACGGCAAATGGGGGTCGCGAATGTGGGGGTGGCAAATACTTTTTGCGACCGCAAAATAGCAGTCGCAAACTATTTGCGACCGCCTAATCTACTTATCGCGACTAATATTTTGCCGTCGCAAAAAAATTAAAAAAATACCTACAATGTATTAGCGACCATCTTGTTACCGTCGCAAAAAAAATATAAATAAATAAAATACCTACAATGTTTTAGCAACCTATATTCTCATATATATATATATATATATCAATAAATATAAAGTGATATTTGCAAAAATTCTAATACACATGTATTATTTTCCATCACTTCCCTCAACAAAATATAAACTACCCCGGATTCCTCATGATGCAACCAAATCCAACAACTTAAACTCTTACTTCTCTGTGGAGGGGGGTGAAACCCTCATCACTATCCATTGTCTCATCAAAAAGCTCTACGGCCATCCACCCTAGTTGCAGAACCACTCTCTCATCACTCATTTATCATCACAAAACTCCCACCAATAGCTGCCACAGGAAGTACATGATAACATTGATAAACCACCACAACACTGAGGACACTAACCAATGCAAACTAAACTAAGACTGGCAAATTAAGTTTGGTTTATTCAGAACACACTCCAATTGAAAGGTTTCCAAAATAAAACACATACAATCACTGCATCGTCTCTCCTTTCGGGCTAAAACGTGCTCAAAAGGAGAGAAACCAGTGAAATTGGAACTGTAAAATCAGTGAGAAAAAATCCACCCTCAGATGTGCTGGGATGGAAAGAAGGCCATCAACCAAAGTAGTACATAAAATGCCCGTAACGTAAAAAATCACTTTCGAAATGTTGAAATGCATAAAAAAAAACCTTAGGGGTAAAGTACATGGTTTTTATAGGGGAAGAATCCTAGTAATTTTTCTAGGCAAGACATCAAAAAGGAGCCCAAAACTCCAGTTATCAAGGTCTAGAGAAAGCAGCTGGGAAGCACTAGGGTCTACAAAAGGCAGCTATTGGAAGATGCCTAGTGATTACAATAACATCCTAATCTCATCATACCAGTCATAATGAACCAAGAAAGAAACCCTAAAGACAAGCCAGTACATGTTAAACGTAACATAACATCCTAATCTCATCATACCAGTCATAATGAACCAAGAAAGAAAACCTAAAGACAAGCCAGTACATGTTAAACGTAAAGGTATAAATTAATACAGAGTTATATGATACATTGAAAAGAAAGACTTGTACATTTTCTGGACTAGTGACAACATGTCTCATTTATGATTTCTTATTAAAGGCCAGCTGACAATAGGATACTGCAACCAAGGTAAAAGAATATACCAGCATATAATGGATTAAAAAAAAAAATAAGCACAACACTTACTGTTTTACGAACTCCAGCAGGTGACTCTCCAAAAATGTCATCACAAAACATATCATTTGACCTCTCACTCTGCAAAATCAAACAAAAACCGAAATCATGTACCTATATAGAACAAACTACCCAACATGTGTTATTCAATTAACAATAACAAAAAACATAAATCATCTTGATTCATAAAAAACAAAAACCAATAGAAGAACAAGAAAAATTAAACAATGAACCTGGTTGGTTAGCTCTTCCTAAATTAACACTTCCTATACATTGGGTGCCAGATTGACAAAATTTAAACATTGGGGACCAAATCGACAAATTTTAAAAAATAAGGACCAAAATGACAAAAGACTCTTACTTTGACAACCAAAAATATAATTAACCCGATATGGAATATGGATGAAGTTATTTGCACTAAGCAACGAATGGTTTGAGGGTTATGTTCACATAATTCTTCCAGTCCACATTCATGGTTAGAAACATCAAAATTTATGGATTTGTTCCTCACTTCCGGAGGTGAACAGAAAGGGGGAAAACAAAAAAGATAGTTCGTACTACCTGTTCAATTCTGAAGTCGAGCAACTTCCTCCACGGCCACAAAGAACATCATTGTTATCATCTGTTTCCAGCCCCTTGCACACAATCTTTACACACTGTTTCTGAACAGGTGAGCCAACTAAACAGAACTCATTTTAATCTTCAATGAGTGATTAAATCATAATTGACCAATCATTCCATGATGATAGACAATTATCAATTCATAGAAAGCTGAGAAAAAAGGAGTGAAGATTTGGGTACCAACAAAGCACCAATCGCTCTGCAATTGATGTGACGACAGTTTCTCCAGAAATATCTCCTGTATTCAATTTCTGTCAACCTAGAATATCAAGACTTTGGAATTAACCACAGCCCTCTGCCATGAAAACATGAGAAAAAATGAACCAGCAGCAAATAATTGTACCCTGGAAATAAGAAAGTCAGTAAAGAACTTAATAAGTGAAATTTTACTTCAATTTAAATGAGAAAATGAAAGAGAGCTCAAGAAAAAAACTATAAATATAAAATCCACATGAGAAATGCTGTGGAATTATCTGAGGCTGCAAAAGTTTGTGATGCTGTATGAATCTAGGAAAGTACCAAAATAGTGGTTCAGTTTAAAAAGCCGCCTACACCCTCCCCCCACCTATTACCCCCCTCCCCCCAAGAATAAATAAATACAAACATAAACATAAAAAATACAAAATAAAATAAATAATCAGTGTACAAGACACCTCCAAAATGAGCAAATAAAAAGCTGCAGAAAAAGCTTTAGAAAACTTATAAAATTGGAACCTCTGTATCGAGAAAAAATTCAATGAAACGGTTATACCATGTCATTGTCAGAAATATGCGAGTAGTATGGTATGTATGCATGACAACATGTACATTGTACACAATGGATTCAAAATTATTACCTGGGAAACTCCAAACACAAAGGCTTCAGACCCATGTATACTGATAAAGAGATGAATTTCTTACAACGAGCAAGTTGGCCTGATATCAGACTTCCAGTGAGCCCTTCCACATTTACATTGCATCATGTATAATAGTCTGAAATACAGAAAAATTGGCAATGAGCAGACAAGCCCCATCAGAGCAGTAACACAGGAAAGGATGTAATCTGAAATACCTGCAATACCAGATTTAGTGTGGTCACGCTCTGATGGACTTGGGTACCAAGGTTAAAACTGATCCACAGGTGAACATCCAGGGCTTTGATCCAAAGGAATTAAAGCAATAAAATAGAAAGTAACTCAATCCTGAATTAAATGAAATACATAGTCAAAACAACCAAATAACACAAAGGCAACTTTTATGATCAATTAACAGAAGAATGGGAGAAACACTTTACAAGTCATCAATGAAACAGTAAAACACACAACTGGCTTTAGTCAATTTTGCCATCTATGTACTCAAAAACCAACCAGCTTTTGACAGGTCAAGTTCTAACACACCATTGAATGTGTTTGTTTGCATTTTGTGGTCACCTTAAGAGAAATACATAATGCAATCCGGTACTGAAGGACTCCACAAAAGTCAAGAAAAGGGCAATAGACATACTAGATGCTGATATTCCAAATGAAACAAAATAAACCATGTTGAATCGAATAGGCTAAAAAAACAAACTAGATGCTGCGCAATAGACATTCAAATATTGCCGTAATTTAGGAAAACATCACTACAATTCGAGTATATCTTCCTCTCTCCCTAACTAAAACCTCACAAGAACAAAGAATTCCAAAAAATAAAATGTGCATTTCATATTCATGTAACTGGATTATTATTATTTAATAAAAAATAAGTTGATATTCCCAGTAATAAGCAGTTATTCAAGGAACACACATGTATTTATAATTTTATATACATATAGAGTGAGAAAGAGATGAAGATTGAGGAAGAGAATAAGGGAGGGAAAGAATGATGCAGTTCACCTTTGAAGATTGAACAATGAATTCGATTCTATGGAGTGAGCCAAAAATCTCACCAATGCCCGAAACAATATGACTCAACTCAAGAAAGCCTATCCCAACCGTGGTCTGAAACAGTGATTTCTAGCCAAGCTGCATGCATATTCCAAGAAATATACATGCAATGTTAATACAACTTCCCAGAATTAGGTCACTCACTCTAAAGATAATCTGCATGGATATTAGCTTTCAAATAATAGCATCCACATTCATTTCTTAAACCTTCTAGCTAATTAACAAAACAATGAACATTAAAAAAATAAAACATCTTCGACTACATTAGGAAAATTAGAAATTATTAAATATAGATCTAATAAAACATCTTCGACTATATTTAATCTCATGATTAAATATAGATGATGGATCTGAAATCTCAGACTAATCTCATTGATGCAGTAGGCCTCCTATATAACTTGACCACAAATAATGCCAAGCTAAAGAGAGCAAAAAATAGTAAAAAAGTGTACCAAATTATAATTAATTTGCATCTGATCAATTATGAGATCTCCCAAAACAAGATGCTTTTACTCAAAGCCAGCAATACTTCCAGGACAGGAAAAGTGAAAATAGATTAGTCAAAATACACTGAGAAGAAAGTAGCAAACCTCAACCAAGGTAGTGCAGATTGAGGAACCCATCCAACAGTAAAGAGAGATCCTGCCAATTAGCTCTGCACGTTCTTTGTTCTAAATATAATCAACAAAGTACCCAAGCTCCATCTTGTGAGTATTCCTCTTTGAAATCAGTGAAGAAAATGAGACTGTATAAGGAGAAAGTTCATTCCATACCTTATAAATGCCTGTCCTACTGAGCCAGACAATTTGATCCAGAAACAAGAAAGTAGACAACAGTGCATTTTTGGACTGAGAAAAAAGCAAAGTGGTAAGAAAATGACAAAAAAGTAAATCATGTGTAAATTAATTAGAAAAACATTCAGTCAGCAAACCATTTTGTACCTTTCCCAGCAAAACAAGGGGAAGGGGTGCTACAGGAGAAGTTGGACTAATGAGCGCGTGCAGATCATTGACAAACTGCATAAATAACAAACCTAAGATAAGCCCAAGAATAAAAGTGCCATACAGATATGAATTCAAATCAGAATTATTTTTTTCCCTACTGATTTTCCCAGAAAATTCTTCATCTAACCTTTTGAGGTCAGCTGTCATTTCACAGCATGAATAACAAAACAGTTACCCTTATACACCAAATAAATGGACATTAAGAAAGAATAAATATAGAAAAAAAAAATTCTCCACAATTTAAAGGTACTTAACTACGAGACCAGAGAAGATGAGTGAAAAAGACAATTTTATTACCAAAAGATGCAATTAAGCCTGACCTTGAAAAGACGGAACACTTTTCGTGCCAAGCTAGTTGATTTGTCAACATTTTGGGTTGTGCCAGGCTCCCGGTTACTCAAGTATTTTGAACCATATTGTATTGCCCTGCATATCTTGTCCCTGGCTTCGGCTTTGTTCAAATATAGAACCGCAAGGCCAAGCTCTGCTCTAGCTACGTCCAATGTACTCATTTTTTTCTTATCATATCTGCAAAGTCAAGGTACGTTCTTATTTAACTCCAGAAATCCAAAGAAGTAAACAACCAACAGACAAACCATGCAAATTTCACATTGAAACAACTAAGCAGGGAGATGCAAAAAAAAGAGACATCAATGGAATGGCCAAAAACCTAATAGCCTAAATTGAAGGATACATATGCTGAGGCAATGTGTACTTTTCAAGAGATTGATTAAGAAGGCAAATGAGAAAGAGATGATGATGATCCTATTATTACCTCTAATGAAAGATTCAGCAGTGTTAGTTAACTCTCATCAAAGACCTCGTGCAAAACGAGTGAGAAAGAAAAATCCACGAAACATCAGTCAACAAACCCTCAGCTATTATTCCATCTTCTATTGATCTATAACACACTCAAAAATCCCCAAATTTGTCAAATTAAAATCAACAGTGACTCAATGCTTAACACAAAAACACACACGCACATATATATATATATATACACATTTCGAGAGTAGAGATTTGAAGCAAAATTGCAAACCAAAGAAATATGAGATTGTCGGAGTCGAAGAGTTCAAGATCTTGAGGAAGTTGAGGACGCCTACTTCGATTCTTGCTCGGACCTCAACAGAATAAATTCAATTTCAAACATTGATATTCATAACACATACATAATATATAGAGGTACATATACATGTGTAGTAGAGGTGCTAATTTGAGAAGATCAAAGGAGAGAGAGCACGAGATTGAGAGAAAGAGAAAGAGAGAAAGCAAGATTGAGGGGGAGACAGAGGGAGAGAGAGAGAGAGAGAGAGAGATTCATACCAGTCGTATTATTGTGAGACCGAGAGAGAGAGAGAGCGAGAGAAAGAGAACAATCGATGTCTGTGGAGGGCTAGGGCAAGTATAAAGAAAAGGGGGAAATAAATAGAAGAAAATAAAGGGGTAAATTGATTATTTGCGACGGCTAATCAGATGGTCGCAATTATATAATAGCAAAAGGTCAGTTTTCCAGTAGTGTACCAGTCCATGTAATCAGCGTTATAATCAGAAGGATGTCTCACTGGCCTACTTCGTCTCCTCTCAGCTAGCACATGGTCGTCCTAACTCTTTTATATCTGATCAACAAACGAACACATCACTCGGTATCGGCTGACAATCGTTCCTTGAATAGCACGCACTGGTG